CATGTCTAGTAATTTTATAAAAATAAAAAATAAAAAAAAACATTAAAGGGCCAGTGTAAGAGCCAAAAGATTGGTTTGTTGCCCGAGGGCAACAGTATGCCATAGAGGGTTAAATCCACATTTTACTGCCACAAACTCTAATAGTCTGGCTCTTACTCCCGCCCTAACGCCCACTCTGATCAGCAGCTCTGATTGGTCAGAGCGGGGCCCCTAAGTGCACGTGCATGACAGCCACGCACGCGTATTTGGCGCAAAGCATCATGGGAGCTCGTCAACTGCGCAGAACCGGGAGGACCTGACGATGCCCAAAAATAGGCGAGTTCCGCTAATAGGGGTGTGACGATACTTTCTTCCGCGATTCGATTATCGATATGCATTTGCCAAGTATCAAGATCAATTTTGAAAACAAAAAAAAAAGTTATTTTTTTTTCGTTTTTATTGGTATCAATACTTAATATATGGCTACATTACGCATCTCCATTCTATTTATCATGAAATAAAGAGTATTTTTTATTTTATTTATGCCATAAATTGGCATATCGTATATTTCTGACCAATATATCAATAATTGTCATATCGTGATAAAATCGTTATTGTAATCTTTATCGTGAGCTTTGTATCGTGTATCGTATCGTATCGTGAGGTACCCTTAGGTTCCCACCCCTGTCCGCTAATCTCTCAGGCTCGTGAAGTCAGTTGATTCACTGTTTTGCCAAAGCCAAATTCATGAACAGAGCAGGTCGGAGCATGAGTGGGGGCATCATGGCTCCTTGAAGTTACTAACAAATTTTTGGCACAAACTTAATTTTCATATATTTTTTCATTTAGACTTTAATTGTTGCTGTTTGAATAAATAAAAACATGTTAGATCATTGTTGTGTTTTTTTCTGCATTAACAAAAATGCTCCTCGCTTTAGATTAGGGTACTGCAAAATAGTGTAATAAGCAGTTTATTAACGCATATTTTTAGTGGCCTATTACCACTATTACCTATTAATAAGCAGCGTATTAATATCTTTATAGGCACATTGTTAGTGGCCTATTAACATGGTATCGATAATAGTTTAATAAGCAGCTTATTCATATATTTATAAACATATTCCTCCTTTAATAAGTGTCTTACTAATTACTTATTAAATGCTTAAAAGCATATAACTAGAACAACATCATTTAGAGAATAGTGAAATAAGCAGCTTATTAATATGTTTATAAGTACATATAAGCAATCTATAAGCATGTTGCTAATGTCTATTAATACCTTATTAATACTTAACAAGCACACCTTAATATAAAGCGTTACCACTTTAACTACTTATTATCCTGCACTATATGTACAGTATATAGCTCCGCACTGCTACATATATATATTTTTAAAACTAGTATTGAAGCATTTACAGCCAAGAAACATAGCTACTACTTATTTTGTATATTTTTGTGTGCTCCCCGTGTGCTCCTACTACTGTCCTGCATGTGCGCTGCAACATTGAAATCTTTATTTTTGACGTGTGCGTTTTAGTTGAAGTAGGACGCACGTTTATTGTCAAAATAGACTGGATTTGCCCGAGCGCTTTGATCATCACGAGTCAACAGTTGTTAAAACGCCTCATCGTTAAATCCTCTTGTGTCCAGTTAAAACAGTCGTCTAATGTCTTTGTTTCCGTCATGTATATTGGAAATGTGTATAAATATTCAAGCCTGTATGTTGCTGGTGCCATTTATGTACAGGTGCTTCATAGTCCAGGATGTAATGTGCACAAAAGACTTTTGTGCTGTAATTCAGTCAAAGTACCTCAAGATTTCTGCTTTTTGTTTTTGGATTTGACTCACTGTTTGATTACATTAGTCAAAACTGAGCAGCAGATTTTGTCGTAAGGAAGTAAAAAAACGGGGACAGGGTTATTTTCTATTATATTAAATAGCAGAATAAATGGTATTAGGCGACAATGGCATGTTATCCATCACTAAGAAAACAACCATAACATTTAATTCCATAAGAAATATAGAATTTTCCAATTTTCTTAGGAAAGAACCGCCCTCTCCACTTTTTGAACAAATCTCTCTGGTCTTATTTGACGAGCACAAATGACCAGAATGATTGAAAACTGGGAGGAGCAATAATCTTGATGATCCACTCAAAAGTATAAAATCTTCCGATATACCTTCACCATTTGGTCCAGTTTTGGTTCAGTCCACAGAAACTGGACTAATTCTAATCAGAAAAGAATGTCCAATCCAACTATTGTGAAACAAGGCATTTATTTAGATACCTTCATATTCCAAAAAAATGTAATAAATGAAACCCACTTATTTTTTTGGCCCCTGACCAGCTCTTTCTTTTTTTATTCGGCCCTCAACCAAAATAAGTTTGACACCCCTGTCCTATATGGTCCTACATGGTCCTATATGGTCCTACATTGTCCTATATGGTCCTATATGGTCCTATATGGTCCCATATGGTCCTACATGGTCCTACATGGTCCTATATGGTCCTACATGGTCCTACATGTTCCTATATGGTCCTACATGGTCCTACATGGTCCTACATGGTCCTATATGGTCCTACATGGTCCTATATGGTCCTACATGGTCCTATATGGTCCTATATGGTCCTATATGGTCCTACATGGTCCTACGTGGTCCTACATGGTCCTATATGGTCCTACATGGTCCTACATGGTCCTACATGGTCCTATATGGTCCTATATGGTCCTACATGGTCCTATATGGTCCTATATGGTCCTACATGGTCCTACATGGTCCTATATGGTCCTACATGGTCATACATGGTCCTATATGGTCCTACATGGTCCTACATGGTCCTATATGGTCCTATATGGTCCTATATGGTCCTATATCCTCATTCCTATACAGACAGTGGCAGACTTGGAGATCCTTATCCTGCATTTGTAAAAAGTTTAAATATTTGCACCGGTGCCAGTTTTTTTCGAGCTGAAACATGTTTTGATGTGTCTCCTTGATATTGGATATATCTAACAGTCGGTTATTGTAAGAGATGGCACCGACATGTCCTTATTTGAAAATGAAATCAGCGTGTTGCCATTTTAACATGAACCTGACCCTGATAATATTCACATTGGTATTTTATGTTTTACAATGTGGAAAATATACAAAAATGGTATATATAGATATATTATTCAGCTATGGCCAAACTCAGGCCCGCGAGCCAAATGCGGCCCACTGTGTCATGCTACCCGGCCCTCTGCTGCTATAGCACAAAGTCACCATTGAGGTGCATTCAGTGTCATCCAGCCAACTTCAGCTTCACCCATTTAGTCATGCTGTACCTCATTGTAAAGCTCACAACCCGTTTGGACACATTATTCCCCATTTTAAAGGCCAGAACTGCCTGAATCCTGTCAAAACAGTTTTACAATCCATGTTATCGGCCGCCGGACAATTCCAGGTGGCCCTCTTACTCACAAGTTTGAACACCCCTAATCTTATTGAAGGCTCTCTTTGATTTGACTGGAGAAATTACCCACACGAAGGCAACACTTATTGTCCTGTTACCTGTTTTGAAAGGCAGAAATCAGCGCAGTAGTCTGAGGATTTGTCGAAGTACAACTCCAGGTCTGTTTGAGGAGGAACGAGGTTAAAAGAGCGGAAAAGACTTTGGGTAATTGTCCCGTACTTGCTGGACTATTATGTGCACCTGTATACATCTGTTAATACATTAACTCGATTCTGCTCTAACTATAGCCTTAATCACATAAAAAACGATCTGCTGTTCACATAAACACCAGGAAGCAGGAATGTGTACTCCGTCATCAGCTCTAGAGATATGCAACTGATTGAGCTGTGTCCAAATCCCTGCTTTTTCTTCCCCCCTGTATTTGGATAATTATTCAAATCTCCTTGTATCCACCATTTCCGGAGAAGCTGTGTCAGTTTGGATGAGAGAAATAGTGCAGTTATAAAGAGCTGGAGCTGGGGGACATTATGCTAATGCTTCACTTCGAGCAAGCGACTGTCTCTTCTTTCTGAATTGGGATAAACATGTTTTACCACAAAGGCTGTTCTTTTGGCACACCTTCACTGGGAATGTCAGATAGTAATATGCAAATCACAAGGATGAGGCCAGAGCTGTCTTACAGGAGTAAAACCTCAAAACAAACATTAATAGAAATATTCAACATGGCCTGGACTACATGTGCTTTGACATTTTAGAATGTTTTAGAATTTCATTTCATTTCATTTCATTTACATCCCTTTATTTTCCATTTCTGGGTCAGGGGGGTGGCAATCAGAACTGCCACCCAATTCAGACAGCACCAGTCCCACGCTGATCTTCCTGCAGGTGGTGGGTCCACATGATGATGATGTTTTAGAATGTGAAGTGATAAACATGTATAAAGGAGAAACACCTCCTCTAGTGGTGGAAGTGGGGAATTGCCTTCTGCATGCAGATGGTAATGAGTGCGGTTGGTAACAAGGACAGTGTATAATAAACTTTAGCCTCTAACACATTCACACCATTCTATTGTAAGAAAAAAGAAATAGCCCTGAAGGAAGGGACACCAGCCTCAATGCTGTTTACTTTGGAACTCTCATTTAATACTTCATGTTACTACATGTTCTGGGACGCAGTCATCATAAGTCTCCACAGAACTGATTCTCTTCTGATTTCATTTCTCATATGTCAAACATGTTGGGAAAATTAAAATGTTACCAAGCCAACATTAAAAACATTGTTGAATTAAATTCAAAAACAAATTCACAATATGTCTCGAGTTTTTACTTTATTATTTTACCTTCTAAAGTAGAAATGCAAAAGTGAATATTCACGAGATAATGTTTAAGGGTCAAATGGAGGAGAGAGAAGAATCCCGCACACCGTCTTACTTGCAAATAAAAATTATTTATTTAAGGAGCTGCGACTTTCGGCGTTATGCCTTCATCAAGCAAAAAAGGGTCAAATGGAACAGAGTTCGGTCCACAGAAGCAGTTCATGATATGTTGCTGTTTTGATTGTTTGACAGGGCTCCGTCCACAGAACTCAGCGCTCTGATCGAAAAGCTGCAGAAGAATGCTGACAAAGTGGAGAAGAACATCTACGAGGTGGAGCAGAACCTCAACAAGGTGAGAGCAGAGTGTTCCTGCAGCTCAGGGAGAAATGTGAAAATGGACAGAATCTTCAACTCTGAAACTATTCAAATAATCATGTCAGTTTATTCATGTAAAGCCCTAAATCACAACAGCAAACCTTTCTGAGGATTTTACAAAGTTGTCGATTCCTCAACAACAGATCGGAGAACATAATATAAAACACAAACATAAGGGCGACAGTAGCTCAGTTGGTAGAGCATTGGCCTTAAGCCCAGAAGGTCGTGGGTTCATTTCCCACCTCTGCACCTTCTCCACCGACTCCCACTGATGACTGCTGTCGTTGTGTCCTTGGGCAAGACACTTTGCCCAAAGCCCCCACTGAAAGATCAAGGCTATGCTCACACTCAGTGAGCAGCCGTGGACCTCCTGTGCACTCACCACCTGCAGAGGGTCAGTGAGGGGCTGGTGCTATGAGACTTGGGTGGCATCTCTGACTGCCACCCCCCTGACCCAGAAATGGATTAAAGGGTAGAAAATGGATGGATGGATGGACAAACATAAGGAGCCATTGGTCCATAGAGAGCGGAAGTACCAATGAATCGAGAAATGTCCATAAATGTCCCGGATCGTAACTGTTCTTAGACCCTCCTGCATCTGCAAGGACCACTCAAACAACCCAGTGGGAAAAAAGTGAGAAACCTCAGGAAAGCCCATGAGTTCAGTGATTGTTATTCTTACTACAGATGAATAGTATGTATGTATTTATATAGTATGTATATATAGTATGTATATGTATATACAGTATGTATATGTATATACAGTATGTATATGTATATACAGTATGTATATGTATATACAGTATGTATATGTATATACAGTATGTATAGTATGTAATGTGCAGTGGGAAAGACATGTTCTTTGCTATTCGCAGGATGTCTCCAAAATCAACGAGGGCAAGCAGCCGCTGTACCAGGACGACACCAACAAGCGCATCCTGAACTCCCTGGAGCTGCTCATCGGCCTGGACGATGACGCTGCCAATGCCAGGAGGCTCCAGCACCCGCAAGCGGAGATGATCGGACAGGAGTGAGCAGACACACTCACACACATACTGCAACAAAGTGGAAGGAAGACATTTTAGGTGTTTTGAATATTGTTGATCCTGATACTAAATCTGAACAAAGTCAAACAATCGCTAATGTAAGCTGTGTATCAATATCTCAGGTTTACTTTACACTTTCTTTATTCTGAGCTGGGCAGCAGGCGTGTCAAACTGGTCCTCAAAGGGCTTTCAGGTTGACTGGACTCACTTAACTCATAGACTGCCAGCCGTTTTTGATGATTTCACTGATTCTCAAAGACCCACAGAATATTATGTGCTATGAGTGGATTGTCTAATTTCATCAGAGGAAAATAAGTTTGTTTTTAGCTGGTTTTGTTCTACTGAAATCCCCAGTCGAAAAGAGGGAAGCTTGAGAGAAATCACCAATCTCAGACAAATACGTCAACGGCAGTCAATGAGTTAAGGAAATGGGTAGAGTATGGTGTGCTCCTGCTTGGTTGGAATGAAGACCTGCAGCGACACAGGCCGTTTCTGAAACCAGTTTGACACCCCTGGCCTGGAGATAGACCATTTATATACTGGTGCATAACATCCTTGAACGTAGCATTAGCAAAACCCAAAGAGCTAATGTTAGACTTGTTCATGAACGAAGTAGACGAGCCACCACCTGGGGGCGCCATCGTCTCCTCAAAGCAAAGACTGAGAGAATGAGCGTTTTTTTCCAAAGCCATGCGACTGTTGATCCAGGCCTGACTGTGTATCTATTTTGATTGTATGTTATGACACTTTGACAATGCAACATCTGCTGGAGGAACATACAAATTTCACTGCAGACAATGGGTTTGTGACAATAATTAATTTGAACTATAGGACAAAGACCAAAACCATGAGTAATGTTTCCAAGGGCTATAATTGAATATGTAGAAATAGAGACGTCTGTTTGGTTTCAGTATGAAGCAGCTGCGGGAGAGGGTCATGAAGCTGAGAGAGGACCACGACCGCATCTACCACCTGATCCGCACCGAGGGCACGCCCACCATCAACTGGGGCAACATGATCGACGAGAAGCAGGTAAGAGCCCCGCCACAGTTCTACTCCATGTAAAAGTAGAATAAAGTAAGTGTGAAGTGTTCATATCTTTAAAAAAGATATATATAGGACTCGCTCTCTGATTATTCTGTCTCAATTCAATGTATTTTTGTAAAGACCTAAGTCACAACAGCAGTCGTCTTGGAGGACTTTTCATGGTGTGATGTCATAGTGTGATGTCATGGTGTGATGTCATGGTGTGATGTCATAGTGTCAACTATAAAATACCTTTCTGTGGTTGACAGTTGAATGTGGTGAAGTCTCTGACAGTTTTTCTGCTGCACAGGACAATCTGAGGAACAAAGGCTTCGGGCAGGACTTGCCGTCTGTGGAGCAGGAGGTGGAGGAGCACAACATCTTCCACAGTGAGGTCGAAGCACTCGCCCCTCACCTGACCAAGAGCGGGGACAAGGTGCACACCACACACACACATATGTGCACGCATACACACACACACACACACACACATATACACATACACACAGATCTTGACTCAAATGTGTTCTCTTTTTCAGGAATATGTCAACAGCCTGCAGAGCAAGTACAGCAAACTCCTGGTACAAAGAGCTCCAGTTACACACACACGCACACACACACACACACACACACACACACAAACCTGCTTTTCGCCTTCAGGATATGACTCTGGAAAAAACGAAAAAGCTCTTGCAAAATGCTTCTGTTTCTCTGTGTCACTAGTGAGCTGGAGTTAGTAAGATAGTATTGAACATAGTCACCCAAATAAATGTTCAATTCAATTAATGAAGCGCTGCTTCAGCTGTCAAAAGCCATGCATACACTATAAAACACATCTACAGAGGACACCACGCTGAGGGACAGACCAGGGAGAAAGACCAGAGAGAGCGAGAGATCAGCAAGAGAGACCAGAGAGGGAGACCAGACAGAGAGACCAGAGACAGACTAGAGGGAGACCAGACAGAGAGACCAGAGACAGACTAGAGGGAGACCAGACAGAGAGACCAGACAGAGAGACCAGAGGGAGACCAGAGAGGGAGACCAGACAGAGAGACCAGAGACAGACTAGAGGGAGACCAGACAGAGAGACCAGAGACAGACTAGAGGGAGACCAGACAGAGAGACCAGAGGGAGACCAGAGAGGGAGACCAGACTGAGACCACAGATGGACTAGAGAGAGACCAGAGAGAGAGACCAGAGAGGGAGACCAGACAGAGAGACCAGAGACAGACTAGAGAGAGACCAGACAGAGAGACCAGAGACAGACTAGAGAGAGAGACCGGAAAGAGGCGAGAGAGAGAGAAGCGAGCGAGGAGCCCCTCAACTAATCACTGCGGTGCATATAAGCCACAAAAAGTCTTGTGACTTTAAATAAAGGTAATGTTCATGTTATTCTAGCGGTTATATGACGCTACAGTACACGCAGCATAAGAGAAGCTCGCTGTAAAAAAAGAAAACAATAAAAAACACAAAACATGGAGCCTGTGAAAGGTCAACCACATCATCGTGAAGGGCCCCTGTTCAAACTGACCCAGCTTCAACTCATCTTTACTTTTACTGTCTTTGTGGGAATGAACACAGAAGTAACATCGAATTGGTTTTCTGCAGGCCACCTCTAGTGCGAGGCAGAGAAACCTCCTGAGTCTGCGGGACTACATGCAGCGCTGCACCAATGAGCTGTACTGGATGGACCAGCAGGCCGAGGAGAGGACCAACTACGACTGGAGCGACAACAACCTGGACTACCCCGCCCGACAGAGGCAGTATGAGGTACACATGGACAGCGCTAAGCATTTTGGGCGCTATCTGTGATCCGGGTGTTTGTGTTTTTATATTTTCTTTGTAAATGCAGATATGAGCACTGCAAAAATTTAAAGAAAAAAAACAATTAAAATATTTCTCAAACTTGGCTAAATGTATCTTAACTCATTGACTGCCATTGACATATTTCTCTTTTAGACCCTATCTTCGACCCGGGATTACAGGACAATAAAAATAGCGAAAAACAAACTTATTTTTGCTGATCAAAGTAGACAATCCAGTCTTTCAGAATCTAGTTTCACATTTCACATGGTCTTAGGAAATAATATTCTATGGGTCTTGAGAATCAGTGAAATCATCAAAAACGGCTGGCAGTCAATTTAATATGAGCACATTTTGACCGCCTTAAAAAAAGTTTTGCCAATGGGACTAGCAAAAAATATCTTGTTTTTATAACATGCAAGAAATGTCTCTCTTGGTATGAGAATATAAAGCAACTGTTCTTGAAGTTCGTGAATAAGACTAAATGGTTTGTTCTACTGGCAAATCTAGTTTTAAGACTGTAGAATGTGCTCAAAGTAAGATTAAAAACACTTGATTCAAGCCATTTTTACCTCATATTTTATCATTATTTGCAGTGAGCCATATTAGGATTGACCAATCAGAAGCCTTATTTTGTAGGTGAAACTCCAGATTGCCTTGACAACCGTCTTAGCAACACGGCGAAATGACTATATAAGGAAATTGGCTCCAGCTATCTTATATTCTCAGACTGCTCCACCTGCGACCCGGCATTAGCAAAATGAATCAACACAAAAATAACTGATCATGTGTTGGATGGCGCCACCAGCAGGGCACTTATGGGATGCATTATTATCCATCCAATATTTCTGTCATTCACTAGTCACTTTACCTGCTGATATTGTTACTATTGTTTATTCCTTCTTTCTCTGCTGTAATGTGCAACGATGACACTAAAATCTCCCCACTGTGGGACCAATTAATGAATATTTTTTCTTAAAATTATTTTGTCATGATTAATAATAAATAGATAAATATTAAGTGTCCATTGTGTTATTACAGAACTTCATCTCTAAGTGTCTGGAGTCAAAGGAAGGGGCAATCACCAAACTCAACGACGACGGAGAAAAGCTGATTGCTGCAGATCATCCTGGGAAGAACGTAATCGAGGTGAATGACACAAGAAGGTCCTGGGTTCGATTCCTGTGGAGTTTGCATGTTCTACCTGTGTCTGTTTTCTTCCAGCTGCTCTTGTTTCCACCACCACTGAAAACTTTGTCAGATAGTTCTGAATGCAATGACAGGCTGAGGAAATCCTCTGCGCCTGTGACCTAGCCAAGTGATTTGATGCACATTTTAAAATCTTTTATACCGTTTTTAGATATTTTAGCGACTTATTTATTATGCACCTGTGACTGTGTGAATGAGAGCAGCCGGCACCACTGTCATTTCCTTCGGCATCAATACATTTTTCCTATCCTATCCTATCCTGGAGTGAAGGGAAATGGTGAAGTGTGTGGCGTGGGTGAGACGTGCTATATAATTAAAGATGACTTCCACTGCCCTCTCATGTCCCTGCAGGCTCACATGGGGGCTGTCCACGCCGACTGGAAGGAGTACCTGAACCTGCTCATCTGCGAGGAGACGCACCTGAAGCACATGGACGAATACCACAAGGTCAGCACACACACACTGCTCTGAGCGGGTCGAGGAGGGGGAGAGGAGGGGGAGAGGAGGGGGAGAGGAGGGGGAGGGGGAGAGGAGGGGCAGAGGAGGGGGAGAGGAGGGGGAGAGGAGGGGGAGAGGAGGAGCAAAGGAGGAGCAAAGGAGAGGCAAAGGAGCTAAACAAGACCTCAAAGTCATGTGTGAATGCAGCCGTAATGGGAACAAGAACTGAAAAAGTACCACTCCCACAAGTTTCCTTCAGAGCAGAGTCACCTACAAATGCCAACTTGGTCAACCTTGGTTCCAGTTCTGACATTTCCTTTTTTTTCAATTATTTATTTATGATTTTTCAATTACAGTATTAACAAACAAACAGCTATTAAACAGCTAGCAAACAAACAAACAGCTAGCAGTATTAACAAACAAACAAACTAACCCTAACCCTAACCCATCTGTCTTTGTCTTTCCATTTAAATGCAATTGTCCGTTTGGCCTGAATTAGACAAATATTAAGTAAATGGATCTTTTTTTAATTTAGTGAAAGATTCTTAGGGTGAATGTGAAGCAGACAAAAGGGAGCTGACAACCCAATCGTATAGATGTAAAACTGAGAACTTGATGCCAAAACAATTGAAGCTCCAGTTCTGACATTTCCACGACTCAACCAGATCCAAACCAGTGCTTCCCAGAGTGGGGTCCAGCGCCCCTGAGGCCTCAGGGGCCAATGGGGGGTTCAATGGTTGCCAACACAACCAGTGATTACAATTTTAAGCAAATCTACCAGGATTTGACTGTAATTATTAGACAATTTGCTGATTATTGAATTTAAATGATGCAAATGTGTGGGTTTGGTCTTAGTTGAAAAGGAAAACCACTACATATTCTTCAATGTAAAGATTGATTTGAAATTAGCTGACCCCGGGGGATTTGGATCCAGGATTTAGGAGCAGGACGCACAACTGTATACTCATAGAACAAAGGTCTTTCACTCGGTCCTCAAAGGGCTGTGCGGCTGCAGGTTTTCATTCCAACCAAGCAGGAGCACACCAGACTCCACCCATTACCTCAAGTTTTCAGGTGAAGACTGGACTCACTTGAGGAAATGGGAGGAGTCCGGTGTGCTCCTGCTTGGTTGGAATAAAAACCTGCAGCCACACAGCCCCAGGAGCGAGAGGAGGCGAGCTGAAGAGCCCCGTCATAGAAATCAGTGTGAAAACCTGTGCCTGCTGTGTGTGCGCAGTACCACAAGGAGGCGCGCGACACCCAGGACCTGCTGCGCCGGCTGGACTCCGAGGTCAGCCAGAAGTACAACCCCGAGTTCAAAGACGTGTACCAGACGGAGGGGCTGCTGCGCGAGCTGGAGGTGAGGGACTTTTACACTTCACATCGAGAGAATGTCTTTAGTTCAAATATATGATTGTGTTAAAGTAGTAATATGTAAGATTTTCATGTCAAGTCATCATTAAAGGGCCCTAATCTGTCAAAAGGCATTAATAAACCATACTCGTTTCAAATACTACTTTAATTGATAACAGTAGTTGGAGAATTGAATTTCAAAATTAGTTTTACAGCCCCTAAATCTTGTTATTGTTTTCATTTCGATGTCCCGCCCTCCACCGTTTCACCAATCAGAAAGTCTGTGATCCAGGTTGCCAGACGTTGCCAAATTATTAACAACAAAACAAGGAAAAAAACGAGGACTTCTATCTTTGCAAAAAAGGTGTTGGTTATAGATTTGTTGTTGACAAAACTCTTGTCTATTCAGCTGTTATGGTCCCAGCTGGATTCGTCTGCATATCTGGCAACCTGAGTCAGGGAGAGTGGGAGAGGCTGCAGTACCACTTTTGGCCAGATTTTTACATACTGCTCCTTTAAATGTTGGATTAAAACGGTTTAATAGAAAAGGATAAATCAGACCCATTAGGCCCAGGAAGTGACGGTTTCAGGACATTTTGGACGATCAAATACCACAACACAATGATAAAAGTTGATCCATGCGGTGCCCTCTGTCGTCTGCAGGACCAGTCTTTGGCTCTGGACCACTTTGATGATCGGGTCAAGGCTCTGCAGAAGCGCGGCCTCCAGGTGCTGCCCCTCAAATACAGACGAGAAACTCCCCAGAAGCTGCTGCCCGTCGAGGCCCTGTGTGAGATCGACACCGACGACGTAAGCCGCCTGCCGGGCTCACACTCACACTCACACTCCTTATGAAGTTAGGACCGTATTACAATATTGTACTCAAACAAGAAAACACCTCCAAACACGGCCCTTATGTCTATTTACTTTCTTCTGATAGTTACACAAAGACCAACCCATGCACAGAGCCGGATTCTGCAGGACAACAAATGCATTTCCTCTAAATTACTTGTGAATTTTTTTGCAAATTATGTTTTAAAACTGTTGGGTATTAAACAATGGTCCTTTTTAAATGCATTTCCTTTGATGGAGTATAATACGGTACAACAAGTTCGACATTTTTTCATCATTGTCATCATTTTAGTGGCTTAGATCCAAGATGGCCGCCATCTGCCATCTTGATAGCGCGGCTGTCATCAACAAAGAAAGCTATGGTGATGGAGATTAAGTGAAAACAAGAAGCTGGCTAAAAATGCTTTGCGAAACAGTTACCCTAAGCTGCAGGGACGATGTCACAAGAGTTTGGTCTAAACATGGAGTAGGTGAGGCCGGATAAAGCCAGTGGAAGTGCCCACAGTGTACTTAAGCAATTTAATATGTTTTACAACTTACCTTACATAAATGATCCTATGCAGAACTATAGTCACTGCTCCTCCCACCGCTAAGTTAGTCGTAAGGCTCCAGGCGATAAGTGATGAATCAAACACACATCACAGAAGCACTAAGAAGGAACACAGGAGGATTGTGGGAGGATGGAGGGTTATACAGTCCTCCTATTGATCGTCCGGTTGTTACAGGTCTGATATATTTGGTATTATCGCTCAAACTGCACCGAAATGCACCGGCCTCTCTCGGTCAGTAGGAATGAAATAAGTGCACTGCAAATATTCTAAATCTAGCAGAATGTAATTCCCCAGTTTCACCACTAGATGTAAGTGTTGCTCATTCAAGTGTGCGTGCGTTTGCAGGGCCAGATCCAGCGTGGAGAGAGGTACACTCTTCTGAGGAACAACGGGACCAAGTGGGATGTGAAGGACGCGGCGGGCCGAAAGATGGTCGCCCCCGCGGTCTGCTTCATGATCCCGCCCACCGACCCCGAGGCCTTGGCCATCGCCGACAAGTGAGTCCCCAGGGGCCCCCAAAGAGTTTAGGGATTCTTATGTTGTTTAAGACTGCAGATATTACAACTTTGTGTGTGCTTCGTTTGTGTCTTTGTGTGTGTGTGTGTGTGTGTGTGTGTGTGTGTGTGTGTGTCTGTGTCTATGTCTATGTCTGTGTGTGTAGCCTTGCCAGCCAGCAAAAGGCCCTGAAGCAGAAGATGTCTGGCAGCAAAAGCACTCTGCAGAAGCGTTACGATGAGCTGAGGAAGGAGAGTTCTGTGAGCTCAGGTACACTGCCCCTGATGCTTCTGGGACCTGAGGCTGGAGCTTCTTTAAGCATTGTTACTTCAACACCTGGGTTACTGGGATAATTCCTGAATTACTTTTTAAGTAGCGTTTCCTGCATTAATGAACAAATAAATAAATGCAGAATATTTTAAAGATGAATTTAAAATATTTTATCCTGCAATGTTTTAGCATGTGTCAAAATTATGTAATTCTGGATATACAAGTGGGTCATGGGGTAGAAACGACCAGAACCCTCAACACTTCCCAAGAGGGAAAGCTCTAGATTTAGATCGGAATAATGTAGAAACAAGTGTATCCATATCTAGCCGGTCTAAAACATTGAATAATCTGAATAAGATCATGGTCATGTTTAAGAAACAATAACACCTTCTCTTTGTCTTCAGCTGCAGGCTCTGAGGAGCAGCAGTGCAGGCAGCTCATGGCGGGCCTGGATAAGGTCATCAGTGACTTGGACAAACAGGAGAAGGTCATAAACAGCAGAGTGCGCCCCCCACTGGAGCAGAACAGGCCACTGCAGGACAGCGCTGACCGGCTGCAGGACATGAAGGTATCAAACATTTCTAAAATCAAGATTAAAAAAAATACACTCAATTCAAGCAATTATTTCCTCGCATTTGATCATTTTTGTTGTGCAATTGATGATGTGTTCTTTAATATAAGACATAGTATAAAAGCACACATTAGCCTGGACCTTTCAGTACTACCACATACACACCACCGTCACGTTCTTCCTCCTCAGGACATCTCCAATGCGGTGAGCAGACTGGAGCCAGAGAAGAGTTCCAAAGTGGAGGAGGCCAAGAGTTTCCTGGTGTCCAGTCCCACGTGTGCCAGCGCTCCACAGCTGCACAGCAAAGTGGACGAGACCAACAAGAAGCACAGCCGCATCCTGGAGCTGCTGCAGTGCTCTCAGGAGAAGTATGTGTCCGAGGGCAAGCTCTCACCACAGCGACCCACGGATTCAGAAATCAGACGACCAATCACTGTTATCAGAACTCTGCATCAACCGAGGACCCCTACAGTACATGTGCTTAGAAAGAGGGTTTCTGACTCAACACCAAGTGGACTTTTCACATTCTGTCTCATAGTTGAACCAGTTTTATCTATGATGAAAATTAAAGATCTTTTTAATTGTTTTGGTTGATCAACTTGTACGATTGTGCACTAATAGAAAAATCATTGTTTAGGGATCTGCCTACACATTTTGGGCCAATCACATTGGCTGGTCCAATAACCAATAAGGGTTTTTAGTTTTAATTATGTTGGAGTGCCTCGGATAAACTTTATTTCTATCATTTTGGTCCCAACACTGTGCTTTTCTCAAACAATCATGTTACAGCCCTTAAAAAAAGTACAACACAGTCACCATTGGCCAAGGTCTAGAAAAACTCAGACCATACATTTCTCAGCTGTGCATCAGGAAACACTAAAGCTCAGTTTGTTCCAGGATGAAGAACTCTAACCAGCTGGAGACCTCCCTCCAGAACGGGAAGAACCTGCTGTCCAGCTACGAGAACCGGCTGGCACGAGAGGAGGTGGCCCCAGCCGACCTGTCCTCTCTGGAGAAGACTCAGCGCGAGCTCGGGGTGAGTGCACTGCGTCTGTGACCACGGAACACCGGCCTTCCGGGGGTGTCAAACTCATTTTGGTCAGGGGCCGATTTAAAAAATAGGAACAGGTCAGGGGCCGAAACAATAAAATAGATTTCCTTTTCTTGTCTTTGTTTGTTACATTATGAAGATATTTTAACATGACTTTAATGTGTTATGAGTTTCACTGATTTTTTTCTGGTTGATTTTTCTGAAAACAAAATGTGTTTATTGTTTAGATTGAACCAAAACTGGATCAATATCAAGTTAAACACATGTTATATTGAACTATTTAACTTCTAATGATGTGTTATTGGGTTAAAATGTTAGAATAAATTAAAATTGGTTGTTTTCCTCAGAAAATAGATGATAGATGATAGATGATGTAACCTGCCTTGGTCGCCCATTACCATCAATGCTGCAAGTTCAGAATAATGAAAAAATAATTTTAGGAGCCACTAAAAATGGTCTTGCGGTCCGGATCTGGCCCCCGGGCCTTGACTTTGACACCCATGCCATATGTGGAATGATCTGAAACTCATTTCAGATAAAGATTTTAAATCATAGTTATAATCTGAAAGTAGTATAATTGTGGAGCTACTTTATCCTGAAGAATAATGTCATGACATGTGATAACTATTGGAGTCCTCCCTGCAGTGCTCCGACCCCATTTGGGATTCACAGCATTACACTGTTGTTTAACTGCTCAAATACCAGAATTCTCACACCCTCCTTTACTTGTCAGCATTTAGAACCGCAATCAAACCGCAGAACCTCCAGCAGGAAGGTTGTGCAGTGTTCTTTTAGTCTAACACGACTGTCTACATTCGCAGGACATTTCCTCTGACCTGAAGTCCAAGAGGTCAGCCATCACGGAGACTGAGCAGAACCTGCGCCTGGCTAAAGGCAGCTGCGACACCATGGCCGCCAAGTTCCAGGAGCACTGTCCAGATATCGAGAGGCAGGAGGCCGAGGTGCAGAAGCTCAACAAGCGCTTCAACAACCTGAGCCGACAGGTGGACACCAGGTCAGAGCCCGGACAGGGACACAGTCTATCGTCTCATGTCGGTTCATCTTTACTGAAGGGACAGAGACTTTAAGCTCATGAGAAAGATATGTTCTGCACCAGATCATAGATAGATAGTTCCAGGTTGCATCCATCCATTCTCTATCAACCACCAACACTTTATCGTTCACTACATTTCATTCATTCCTAAGTAAATACTATATTAACAACTGCATAAAAACACATGAGATAAAACACAATCTCCAAACCTACGCAGACACAGGGAAAACATGCAAACTCCACTCAGAAAGGCCCTGGTCCGACCGGGATTTGAACCCAGGACCTAGCCTGGCCTTATCCATCCGTACACTCCGTTCAATCATCATTTCACTGCATGTAACGTCTGGGTCTGCTCCCTGTGTTAGCGATTACAATCAGTTGAATTTTGACCGACCAATCAGAGAGCGCGGAAGGCAGGTGATGTAGTTAGTTGTGGGTGATGTCAAGAGTTTGCGTCGAACAGGAAGGTCGTAGTTTGACAAAAAATGCGATTGTAAAGTAATCCGGTCTGGTTCTAACAAGAAATTGAAGCCGGAGAAAGGGTAATTTTTAGCAAATGTAATTGCTGGAAAAAATTGTGGCGCTACTCCCCACGGGCTCCGTTAGCGGCAAAGGAGATGACTAGGCTCAATGCTATCAACAGACTCGGGCGCACTACATACGTCACGGTAAACTCAGATCCAATGGTTTCAATCTGCAAAAGGAGTTAACCCCTCCCACCTGTTCATGCTTAGGAAATAACCGTCCTTTCCACTTTTTTGAACAAAACTCTCTGGTTTTATTTGACAAGTACGTATCACCAGAATGATTGACAATTAGGAGGACCAATAGTCTTGATGATCCACCTGGAAGTAGAAAATCCTCCTATTTACTTTTACATAGGAGGACCCTTAGACCCTAGCAGAGCACTGCATGATGACTGCAGAGGGGGAAATTAAGATGAAAGATGAAATCCCCCGGGGCCTTGATCCTGGTGATGGTCCCGCACTGTAGGAAGAGCACTGTCACACTGTCAGATGTTATTTATGATTTCCTGTTTCTGTAAATGTTGAGCGTGACCAACTCTTGTGATGCTGTTGTTGCAGGTCCCAGTGTCTGCAAAGGGCTAAGATGTCGTACAAGAATTACCACAACGATTACGATAACTTGAACAGCTGGCTCTCTCGCATCCCGAACTACGAGCCACGTGAAACAGACACAACCGCTCAAGTGGAGACCAAGCTGAAGAACCAGAAGGTAGCACCACAGCTCGGACTATAATGCTTCTCTATTCTGCATGACTTCTAAATTCTGGCTTCCTTTTCCACAGAACCTACTCTCGGATATCGCAAGGAAGGAGTCCGATCTGAACAATGTCTCCAAAAATGCTCAGCTTTACCAACAGGCCGTCAAGGTAAGGCCAACACCCAAAGTCGTCCAGAACATGAGGTTTGTCAAATTCTTAAAGTGTTATGCGTCTTCAGGATTATGAGAACGAAACAGAGAAGTTCCGTGCTCTGCTGGACATTGAAGATGGACTTGTGCCACAGACGTATAAGAGGAGCCGGTTGGAATCCCCCGCACACACAGTCAAAGCAGAGGTCAGGGATTACTTTGGATTTATGAACAATTTGCAATTATTAAACAAACGATTATTTAAATTAATCAACTGGTCAAATCATTACTTCTATTGTACATTCTGATATGTTAAATGTGATGGCTGAATTATGTTTCATGTCCCTATAAAGTCACATGAATACATACATTTGCAATTTGTTATATCATTTAAGAGCCATACCATAGTCTACACTAAATATTACATTTTGTAGTGTTGTCAGTGGAGATAGTAACTGTTCATGTCAAAACAGGAAGCTGCCATTGAATCAAAGTTCACAGAAGTGAATGCGGTCAACAGGCAAAGGATGCAGAATCTGGAGTTCACCCAAAGTCTTCTCAAACAGGTGACTAATAATCCTAATCCTGAGTTTATTTCAACATAATATTTTGGTATCCCAAACAGTAACAACATTGTAAACGTATTGTCTCTCCTACAGCAACCAGAGCTCACAATAACTAGCACCAACGTCCAGTCAGTGCAGGCAGCCCCTGGAGAGGAGCCCTGGAGGTACCGCAAGCAGCTTGAGGATGAGGTCCAAAGAAGGGAGCAGATGGAGAAAGAAGTGGAATCCATCCAAGCAGAGATATACAGGCTTGAGGGACAGAAACCACAGGATACTATAGTCAAGAAGGAGCTGATCAAGAAAGTCCCTGATCCACAGCTGGATGAAGAGGTCCATAAAGTCCAGCAGAAACTGTCAGAAGAACGACGAACCACACATATTCTGGAGAACGACCTGGAAGTGCTCAAGCTCAGGCTGCGTGGCCTTGAGACCGAGATGAAAGAAGGGGCTCAGCAGTACACTGTCAAAGAGGTGTTGCGTATAGAGCGAGACCGAGGCCAAGAGGAGGAGATCCGCAAGCTCCGTGAGGAACTGGACGAGCTGAGGAGACAGAAGATTGTTAAAGACAACGAGTTGGTTCTAATTCAGAAACAAGTGGTGCTCCTGGCTGAAGAGAAGAACAAAGAACAAGAGATCATCACCGAAGAGGAGGTCATAAAAGTCCAGAACGATCCACAGCTGGAGAGTGAGTATCGCATCCTTCTCGACCGAAGACAGCAGGAAACTGACAACAGAAAGAAGCTGGAGGACGAGCTGGCCTTCCTCCAGGACAAACTCAGAAGGCTGGAGAAAGAAAAATCCATTGCAGAAGAAACCATTTCTATCAAAGAGGTCCTAAAAGTGGAGAAAGACATGGTTCTGGAACGGGAAGTGGAAAACCTCCGCCGACAATATGAGGATGAAAAGGCAAGAAGGAGAGCATCACAGAGAGAGAAGACTGACTTCCAAAGAAAGATTACTAGCTTGGAGGAGGAGAAGTCCAAAGTTATTGTTCAAGAAAAGGTTCGTGAAATTGTTCGTCCGGACCCAAAGGCTGAGAACGAAGTGGCAAATCTCCGCCTGGAACTTGTGGAGCACCAGAGACGCTTCAAAGACTCCGAGCTCCAGCTACGATCCCTGCAAGATGAGCTGACCATGTTGAGGAACCGGGGCCCTCAAGTGGAAGTGAGGGAGATCATCAAAGAAGTAATCAAGTACAAAACCGATCCTGAAACTGAGCGCGAGCTGGAGAGGCTGCGTAACGACATAGTGGATAAAACACACCAGACGGAGAAGTCTGAGATGGAGATCCGGACCCTTCGGGAGGATATTCAAAGATGGAGGGATACCAAAGTCCAAGTGCAAACCAAGGAGATAGTGAATGAAGTGGTGCAATTTAGAGAAGACCCCAAAACCAAAGAGGAAATCGAGACCCTCAAAAGGAAGCTGTCGGAGGAGCAGAGAAAGCGACTCGACCTGGAGAGAGAACGGGCCGAACAGGAGGAGAGGATCAGGCTGAAGAAGCTGGACCTGTCTCAAGTGCGCGAGAAGATCGTCCAACAGGAGGTGGTTAAGATGGAGGAGGATCAAATTCTCCGATCAGAGTGTGACACGTTCCTGCAAAACATCAACAATGAGCAGAAGCAGAAAGAAAGCCTGAAGACCGAGCTCTACCAATTGCAGAGGAAGATAGCTGACCTCGATCTGCAGCTGGAGGAATTGGAGCGGGAACGCAAATCGAGGCGTGATGCTGAGCTGGAGATTCAGCGCCTGCGGATCAGGTTGAGTGAGCTGGAGATCCGCGACAAAGAGAACCGCGAGAAGGTGACGGTCAAACAGAAGGTCGTGCTGCAGCAGGACCCTCAGCAGGAGAAAGAGCACTGCATCTTGAAGCTCCAGTTGGACGAGGAGAAGCACAAACGCACTCTGCTGGAGAAAGAGATGAACGCTTTGATTCAGCAACAGATGACCATCGAGAAGATGGACGTGAAGGAGAGGGTGGTCCGTACAGAGAAGGTCCAAGTGGAAGCAGATCCAGAGGCCCAGCATGAAATCGAGAACCTGAAGAGGGCGCTGGAAGACGAGAAAAGAAGAAAGCGTGAGCTGGACGTGGAGCTCTCAACTATCACCTCCAGATATTCAGAAATGGAGTTCACCAACACCAAGTCCACGAAAGAGCTGGACTACATCCGCGACGAGAGCAGCAGACTGCAGCAGGAAAACCAGAGGCTTCAAAACGAGATCCGCAAACTCAAGTCAGAGATCGAAATCACGAGCAAGGAGACACGTCTGATCACAGAGACGTCCCCAAGGGAGGACGGGCGAAGCCTGGAAATGCGGCTGGACTCGCTGCAGAGAGAGCTGTCGGAGCTGCGGCGCATCACCCAGCAGAAAGACGAGGATATCGAGAGGCTGCAGAAGAGCCTGGCAGCCGTGCGCATCAAGAGGGAACAGCGCGAGAGCCACCTGCGCAGGTCTATCGTGGTCATTGACCCCGACTCGGGCAAAGAAATGAGGCCAGAGGAGGCATACAAGCTGGGCCTCATCGACTGGAAGATGTTTGTGAATCTACAGAGCCAGGAGTGCGACTGGGAGGAGATCACAGTCAAGGGCCCGAGCGGCGAGTCATGCGTCCTCCACGACCGCAAATCGGGTAAAAAGTTCTCCATCGAAGACGCTCTGAAATACGGCCACATCACAAATTATCAGTATCAGCAATATTTGAGAAAAGAAATATCAATCCAGGAGTTTGGTGCATTGGTTTCAGGGAAAAAGTGATATATTTTACTTTGAATTTCTATGTTTATGTATTCTCAAGGTTCCGTTTTGTGGTGGTTACTATTTTTGCACCATTCTGAATTGCTCTCCATATTTATTACAGCTTGCGACTTTTGATTGTGATTCTTCAGCTGATTTATTCTGTTGGAAAACATTAATATATATAATTAATAAAACACACTTAAAACTGTGGAAGTGAAATTGCTGGGGTTTGAGAATATACTCTTTTTGGAATTGAAATGCAGCTTTGTTGGGTGATGCCATGCTCTTATGGTGTTCTGTATCAACTTCAATAAAATCCTTAACCCTTGTGTTACCCTTTGTTTTTTTAACCAATCTTGCACCAGAGTTGGGAGGGGCCAGTCTTGTGTTTAGCGACATCTGCTGATCAGATCAATCAATCAATCAATGTTTATTTCTATAGCACAGTTCATACAGAATGCAACCCAAAGTGCTTCACATTGGCAACATTTAAAAGCAATTTAAAAACAAGATGGGGCCATTGCATTTGGGTGGGAGAAGTATGAAGACTTAAAGGAGGATTCTCCCCAAATTTTAGAAAATACCAGCCCTCTCCACTTTTTGAACAAAACTCACAACCAGAATGATTGACAATTGGCAGGACCAATAGTCTTGAAGATCCACCCAGACGTAGAAAATTGTCCGTTCAAGGGTTAGAACAAAGGTGTAGGTATAAGACTAAACAGACAGTACACCAAAGACTCCTTTCCTTTGTTTTTATTTTGTTTCATTCCAAACAGATGTACTAATTTTATCATAGTCAGTAAAAGTAATTATTAGGTAAAAAAAAAAAAAATTACCAGATGCGAAAAAATAGCAATCAACAAACTTTCCCCATCTATGTTCTACGAGCACAAACAGTGACTTTCTCTACAGTTTTTGTTTAAGAATGTGACAGTGACGTAGTTCGAAAAATATGGGTATTTTCTATCAGTCCCGTAGCTAAACCTCATTTACAAACTATAATTGCTTCAGCAGTTTTAGTGGCTCAATTCTGTATTTGCAAATGCATAGATTTGTTTGCTCTAATGTTCAAATATTGTTCACACGTTTTGCACACACTTGATAACTATACCCTTTAGTGCGGCCAATATTCACCCAGACTTCCTCGGCTAACTTGAGTTTGAGGTCTCTGGGCTAAGAGAAAGAACTCAGGGAAATGACTGGATGAAAATTTATCAATGATAAAACAAACAATGGTTCAATTTCTTAACGGTTTTTCATGTAATGGAAAGAAGGAAGCCCCCTCACTCACTGTCTCACAAGCAATGGGTGAGGTCTCTTATTTACACTGTTTATTTAGAACAGTCCATAGTCATTGTGTGTGTGTGTGTGTGTGTGTTCTGAGTTGTCTGTTACATAAGTAAGATCAGGTCTTTCTATGTGAGACGCAGGCACGTATGAACAGGTGACAACATAAGAATAAGTGCTTCTTGTTTAGTGATACGTTTGGAGGAAATGTGCATGAGGGAGAGAGGAAAGCTGGTCATTTAACCTGGAATTCAGCTCAGCGTCAATATCGTAGTCACCGAGGCCCAATGTTTGTCTGCTCTGCTGCTGCTGCTGCACCCGCTCCACGAGATCTCAAGACCTGGAACTCTGGAGACCAAGGAACAGCCGCAGACTCACACAGAGGCTGGCTGCAGGGGCCAGAGTCACCAAACATGTCTCAAAAGGAACGTCTAAGGCAGGGGTGTCCAAACTTTTTAGCAAGAGGGCCCCCTATAAGTTCATCAGACTTGACCTGGGGCTGACAATCTGGATTTTAAAAACTAGATTTGAGCTGGATTGACAGGATTCTGGATTTGTGAATGATATGTCCTTATTTATTCACACCACAGCTGCATTTTGTTTGGAAGGTTGTGATAATAAAGTCAACAACTGGATTCCAGAGGGTCTGAGATTTACAACAAGGTATAGCGTGACTGTATTGGTGGAGCTGAAGTTGGTTGGGTGACATTGTCAAAGTGCCTCAATGGCAACATTTTGTTAGCAGCAGAGGGCCACATACAATGACAGAGGGCCGCTTTTAGCCCACGGGCCTGAGTTTGGACATGCCTGGTGGTCTAAGGAATATCTAACCCTAGTGTGTTTTGGGATTTCTTCATTCATTCGTTCCCATGCGTTTTAGCTAAATGTATCACTAAAACACAGAGAGAACACTGTGATAAAGATAACAGATCAGGTTAATCTGGACAATGTCACGACTGCTGATGAAGTCTGCGGTTATCTGGTGATGGGATAAGGTTAATGATACACTTAAAAGTATACAGGGGGATTTTCCAGGGGCGATAGTAGCTCAGTTGGTAGAGCATTGGCCTGTAGGCCTGAAGATCGTGGGTTCAACTTCCACTGATGTCTGCTGTCGTTGTGACCTTGGGCAAGACACTTTGCCCAAAGCCCCCACTGAAAGATCAAGGCTATGCTCACACTTATGGAGCAGCCGTCCTCCTGTGGACTCACCACCTGCAGGAGGATCAGTGAGGGCTGGTGCTATGTGACTTGGGTGGCAGTCCCTGACCCAGAAATGGATTATAGGGGTAGAAAATGGATGGATGGAGGAGGATTTTCACAAATTTTAGAAAAGAACCGCCCTCTCCACTTTTTGAACAAAACTCTCTGGTCTTATTTGACGAGCACGTATCACCAGAATGATTGAAAACTGGGAGAACCAATACTCTTGATGATCCACCCAGAAATAGAAAATCCTTCTATATACCTTTAATTATAAACCTTTATTAAACCAGGAAAGTCCCAAAGAGACTTCAGAATCTCTTTTTCAGGAGAGTCCTGGCCCCAGAGAAAAGGAAGCTATTGCATATTTTTTTTTGTGGTTGGGGTTAACTGGAGCACCCGGAGAAAACCTACAGGGAGACACAGGGAGAACATGCAAACTACACTCAGAAAGGGCTCAGAGATGGACTCAAACCCAGGATTTTCTTGCTGAGACACACCAGTGCTATAAAAAGCGATCAACTGAATGGGACTTCTCTGGTTAAATACATAAAAAGGTCCCTCTTGTGTTTGAGTTTCTTCCACACACGGCCATCAGTATTAAAAGCCCCATATGACATTAAACATACAAACCCCAGAGTGACAAACATGAAGGAAACACAGCGGGGATCATTCAAGAGGATTTTATTGCACTGACGGTAGCAGCGTCTCAGAATCGGATAACACTTACTGGAATGAAAGAAAGCTTGTTCATGAGTAGTGCAAAGTAAAAACGACAGGATAATGAACACACACAGGGGCCGTTTCATAAAAGTCTCCTCACTTTCTGAGCTGGATGGACTTGACTTTGATGTTTCTGTGTCATGAATCAGGTTCAGTCAAGAGTCTAGAGGTACAACGGCAATTTAGATCGAGGCCCCATCCTGGTCTCACCCCTGCCCCATGTCTCCCCCCGTCCATATGTTTTAATGTGTATCCTATTTGCTATCCTTGGGCCAAATCGACCAACCACAGTGATTAAAAATACCCCGTAAATATTTGTTTTTGCTGAATTTTGATGATTTGACCAGCCCTGAGTCATTTTGACCCTTTTAGACCCACATTTAGACCCACACAAAGGGGGTGGATATTAGTTTATGAAAATACCCGCCTTTGTGTGTATATCTGCTCCTATAGCTGCTTCTGTTCAGTCTGTCTCTCCTCTTTCATTTCTCTCATTTCTTGAGTTTGAACGGTTTGATTCTTTGAAAAGTGTTTTTGTAATTCAGCAGTTTTGTAAAGTCCTCGGAGATAACTAGTGTTGTGATTTTGGTGCGAAACAAAAATAGATTGAATTGAACTCTTTCAGCTGCTCTGGTTCAGTGTGTATCTGCTCTTTCAGCTGCTCTGGTTCAGTGTGTATCTGCTCTTTCAGCTGCTCTGGTTCAGTCTGTATCTGCTCTTTCAGCTGCTCTGGTTCAGTGTGTATCTGCTCTTTCAGCTGCTCTGGTTCAGTGTGTATCTGCTCTTTCAGCTGCTCTGGTTCAGTCTGTATCTGCTCTTTCAGCTGCTCTGGTTCAGTGTGTATCTGCTCTTTCAGCTGCTCTGGTTCAGTCTGTATCTGCTCTTTCAGCTGCTCTGGTTCAGTCTGTATCTGCTCTTTCAGCTGCTCTGGTTCAGTCTGTATCTGCTCTTTCAGCTGCTCTGGTTCAGTCTGTATCTGCTCTTTCAGCTGCTCTGGTTCAGTCTGTATCTGCTCTTTCAGCTGCTCTGGTTCAGTCTGTATCTGCTCTTTCAGCTGCTCTGGTTCAGTCTGTATCTGCTCTTTCAGCTGCTCTGGTTCAGTCTGTATCTGCTCTTTCAGCTGCTCTGGTTCAGTCTGTATCTGCTCTCTCGGACTGGGATGAGAGCTGCTTGAAAAGGCTTGAGTGGGACTGCTGTGTTTTCTGTGAGTGAAGCTGGGCTCACGTCCCACTTACTTGTTGTGTATGTATGAGTAACTCTTATGAAACAGCCCCCTGATCTGTCCCACACGCGCACAAAGACACAAAAACAGTTTGATTATTATTAGCTTATCATGTACATATTATTACAACAATACAGGAGAGTAGTTCACATGTAATCGCCAAAAGCCAACTGCACAAAATAGTTTCAACAAGAGCTGCATTTCTGGGAGAATACATGTAGATTACAAGATTACGTGACAATTATCTGATTAGTATGAGCTCTTCTGAAATATTAATTCAATTCATTGTAGTTTGTTCATTGGTAAAAAGAAATGTGGTACAGAAGTGGTACATTCTGGATTTTAGAACATGGCCTTGACTTGATTACAGTATATTTGTGCAACTCAGAGTCAGTGGGGGAGGGGTGTAAAGTGCAACATCTGACTGTAAACCACTCCCCCATTTTGTAGTGTTTGTCTTTTTTCTGAAAAACGAGGTCCTCTCTGATCAGGAGCAGCGCCACTGACCTTTATGTAGGAAGTTCAGTTTTAAATGAACTTATACTTCATTGTCCCTGTAGGGATATCTGTCCTCTGCATTTGACCCATTCTTCATTGGCGCTCGGGCCTTCGTCAGGAGCAGTGGTCGTCGTAGTAACAGAAGTTCATGCTCTTGGTCATGACCAGAGCTGGGGGATTTAGCAGTATTACTGTACATGTTTTTAGTGGGAGAGGAACCTATGAATACGTGGGGAGAACATGCAAACTCCAACCAGATAGGCCTTGCTCTGACCGGGATTCAAACCCAGGACCTTCTTGCTGAGAAGCTAGTGCTAACCACTGTTCTGCTTCTGCTACATGAAATAAAAATTGCCAAAAGTCTAATATTTTACACATATTTGTTTGAATGCCATAAAAGTCACAACAGAACAACTCAAAGAAATCAGTGCTGGAAAATGTACATTTTCACGGTTTGACATTTTAAGGATTTTGTAGGATTTTCTAAAGTGACTAAAAGATCCTTTCGACGATGGCTGAGCCTCACCTCTGGACCATGAGCAGTCCACAGCACCCCCTGGCCAGTCTGCGGGTCAGTCTGCGGGTCAGTCTTTCAGGGCCATAGGGCAGAGGTGAGGAGGAAGTCTGATACTGAATGAGAGCAGGTCAACACGGAGGCTGCAGACGACACTTCCTGTGGTTAAAAGGAGCGCGAGTTCCAGAAGCTGGAGAAGACCGAGATCTGCAGATCCACAAAGGACAACTCAAATTATACTGCCTGTCATTGATATTGTGCAATAGCAGCTTGTACAGTCTCACATAGATGCAAATATATTTATCTGTGTTGTAAATATTATCCTATACTGGCGCTATTGCACTACTGGTTAGACGCTAAACTGCGTTTCATTGTTCTGACTCTGTAATGACAGAAAAGTTGAATCTAATCTAATATTGTATTCCGATCACAGAATACGTTTCCTTTTGGTGGATTTCAAAGTACTTCATTGATGTATTTAGGCTATTCTAGTGGCACATGCAGACTGATTGAAGACAACTATGGGAGTGAGGCTGACCCTAACTGAGGTCTCTGGGTCAGGGTCAGCAGTACCTTGTCTTTCAGCTGCTGGCAGAGCTGCAGGGAGATGGTGAAGAAGACCAGGGTGTCACTGAGCCACGGCACCACGCACTCCACCTTGTGCACATGGCTCACCTCGAAGCGGTTGTTGTTCAGCTCACTGTGGACAGAAAAACATTCATTCAAAATCCAAATCCAGGCCCCGCCCTCATTTCTTTGTACATGCTGCCACTTTCTGAGCTTACACAGAGTATGTGCTGTGGTCTCGGCCTAAGCCCAGTTTGTTTGCTCTTTCTGGTCGCCCTCTCTCTCTCTCTGGTCTCCCTCTCTCTCTCTGGTCTCCCTCTCTCTCTCTGGTCTCCCTCTCTCTCTCTGGTCTCCCTCTCTCTCTCTGGTCTCCCTCTCTCTCTCTCTGGTCTCCCTCTCTCTCTCTCTGGTCTCCCTCTCTCTCTCTGGTCTCCCTCTCTCTCTCTGGTCTCCCTCTCTCTCTCTGGTCTCCCTCTCTCTCGCTGGTCTCCCTCTCTCTCGCTGGTCTCCCTCTCTCTCTCTGGTCTCCCTCTCTCTCTCTGGTCTCCCTCTCTCTCTGGTCTCCCTCTCTCTCTGGTCTCCCTCTCTCTCTGGTCTCCCTCTCTCTCTGGTCTCCCTCTCTCTCTGGTCTCCCTCTCTCTCGCTCTGGTCTCCCCCTCTCTCCCTCTCTCTCTGGTCTCCCTCTCTCTCTGGTCTCCCTCTCTCTCTGGTCTCTCCCTCTCTCTCTGGTCTCTCCCTCTCTCTCTGGTCTCCCTCTCTCTCTCTGGTCTCCCTCTCTCTCTCTGGTCTCCCTCTCTCTCTCTGGTCTCCCTCTCTCTCTCTGGTCTCCCTCTCTCTCTCTGGTCTCCCTCTCTCTCTGGTCTCCCTCTCTCTCTCTGGTCTCCCTCTCTCTCTCTGGTCTCCCTCTCTCTCTCTGGTCTCCCTCTCTCTCTGGTCTCCCTCTCTCTCTGGTCTCCCTCTCTCTCTGGTCTCCCTCTCTCCCTGGTCTCCCTCTCTCTCTGGTCTCCCTCTCTCTCTGGTCTCCCTCTCTCTCTGGTCTCCCTCTCTCTCTGGTCTCCCTCTCTCTCTGGTCTCCCTCTCTCTCTGGTCTCTCTCTCTGGTCTCCCTCTCTCTCTGGTCTCCCTCTCTCTCTGGTCCCCTCTCTCTCTCTGGCCTCCCTCTCTCTCTCTGGTCTCCCTCTCTCTCTCTGGTCTCCCTCTCTCTCTCTGGTCTCCCTCTCTCTCTCTGGTCTCCCTCTCTCTCTCTGGTCTCCCTCTCTCTCTCTGGTCTCCCTCTCTCTCTCTGGTCTCCCTCTCTCTCGCTGGTCTCCCTCTCTCTCGCTGGTCTCCCTCTCTCTCGCTGGTCTCCCTCTCTCTCGCTGGTCTCCCTCTCTCTCTCTGGTCTCCCTCTCTCTCTCTGGTCTCCCTCTCTCTCTCTGGTCTCCCTCTCTCTCTCTGGTCTCCCTCTCTCTCTGGTCTCCCTCTCTCTCTGGTCTCCCTCTCTCTCGCTCTGGTCTCCCCCTCTCTCCCTCTCTCTCTGGTCTCCCTCTCTCTCTGGTCTCCCTCTCTCTCTGGTCTCCCTCTCTCTCTGGTCTCCCTCTCTCTCTGGTCTCCCTCTCTCTCTGGTCTCCCTCTCTCTCTGGTCTCCCTCTCTCTCTGGTCTCCTCTCTCTCTCTGGTCTCCCTCTCTCTCTCTGGTCTCCCTCTCTCTCTCTGGTCTCCCTCTCTCTCTGGTCTCCCTCTCTCTCTCTCTGGTCTCTCTCTCTCTCTCTCTCTGGTCTCCCTCTCTCTCTCTCTGGTCTCCCTCTCTCTCTGGTCTCCCTCTCTCTCTCTGGTCTCCCTCTCTCTCTCTGGTCTCTCTCTCTCTCTGGTCTCCCTCTCTCTCTCTCTGGTCTCCCTCTCTCTCTGGTCTCCCTCTCTCTCTCTGGTCTCCCTCTCTCTCTCTGGTCTCCCTCTCTCTCTGGTCTCCCTCTCTCTGGCTGTACACCCCCCACCAAAAATATACTTGCACGGTCAGACACTTACAACATAGCCCCAGGATTGTGCATCACGGAGCTACCAGCAGGCCGGTAATTCTGAAGGAAAAAGAAAAGCAGTGAAACTCCAGACACATGAGTGTGAGCGTGGCGAGTGTGGCGAGTTTGGTGAGTGTGGTTTGGCAAGTGTGGTGATGTGGAGAGTGTGGTAAGTGTAGTGAGTGTGGCATGCCTGTAATCTGGCTCCCTGCCTGTGGTGGTGTACCCGGAAACAGAATTATCCAATGCATTCTTATTGCGCCTTTTTCCTCTCAAAAACAGATTTACAGCTGGGTCTAAAAGTCGGCTCTTGGCTCAACGCTAAATTCTAGATGTGTGTCAAAGTATGGAGCTATTATTTTTTCAATAATATTTGTGTATGCGTAAACAGATTTGTGTGTGCGTAAAAAGATTTGTGCGTGTGTAACCAGATTTGTGTGTACGTAACCAGATTTGTGTGTACGTAAAAAGATTTGTGCGTGCGTAACCAGATTTGTGTGTGTGTAAAAGAAATATTTGTGCGTGTGTAAATAGATTTGTATGTACGTATCAAGATTTGTGTGTGCGTAAAAAGATTTGTGTGTGCGTAGAAAGATTTGTGTGTGTGTAAAGAAAAAAAAGGTACGTTTTACACAAGTTTTTTTTTACACATGAATCTTTTGACGCAGTCCTGCCTTCGCAGATTCGCAAGTGTAACTTGGACTGTGTGCGTGCGTAAACAGATTTGTGTGTGTGTAATTTGACATTTGTATCTGTAGCAGAACAGTCTGTGTGTAAATAACCACGTTGTACAAAGAGAAGAACGGAAAAAATCCTAAGTGCTACGCACAGGCTCTGTTTTACACACAAATCTCTTTTTGACACACCTCTGCCGCCAAGCGTGTGTCAAAAAGATTCGTAAGTGTAATGTGGTTGTTCTAGCAGTACACCAGCAGATGGTGCTGTTGTAGCTGGTTATTACCTACAGGCAAGCAAACCAGCAGAGTTTGTGGCACTAAAGTGTAGATAGAGAAAACCGAAGGATTTAAGAAGAAGAAAAGTTCAGGATGACAAGGAACACTAAAATTCCCACAAAATCCGACCTTTATGAAAGCTGTAGGTTCTCTGTCAGCTGTTTTAGTTTACTTTGAGTTCTATGGGGAAAATGTCTGTGTACCCCACGTGAATTTAGTCTGCAGTACGCTAGAATCCCTCAGCTCCAAGCTAGTAACACCCTATCCAGTTATTATAATAGATCCATGTATTATACAGTGGTGTGAATGACAGGATTTTGAAAATAGGAAAAAAATATCATAAACAGCTGCGGTAGTGTGTCTTGTCAAGGCAGTAGGTTTTGGTTTGCTTGCCTGTAGGTAATAACCAGCTACAACAGCACCACCTGCTGGTGTACTGCTAGAACAAACACATTACACTTACGAATCTTTTTGACACACGCTTTGCGGCAGAGGTGTGTCAAAAAGAGATTTGTGTGTAAAACAGAGCCTGTGCGTAGCACTTAGGCTTTTTTCCGTTCTTCTCTTTGTACAACGTGGTTATTTACACACAGATTGTTCTGCTACAGATACAAATGTCAAATTACACACACACAAATCTGTTTACGCACGCACACAGTCCAAGTTACACTTGCGAATCTGCGAAGGCAGGACTGCGTCAAAAGATTTGTGTGTAAAAAAAAACGTGTGTAAAACGTACTTTTTTTTTTCTTTACACAGACACAAATCTTTCTACGCACACACAAATCTTGATACGTACATGCAAATCTATTTACACACGCACAAATATTTCTTTTACACACACACAAATCTGGTTACGCACGCACAAATCTTTTTACGCACACACAAATCTGTTTACGCACACACAAATATTATTGAAACAATAATATTCCCCTCAGCTTTGTATGGAGCTATTTTTTTATTTGGACCAGCCTAAATTAGCCGATGGCGTCAGGCTCGTCCCGGCTAACGCTTGCGCAGATGAATCACCTTTTTCTTGTGGGAGGGGCTGCTTGCGGCCATTTTGAAAAGGTGATCACACATACATTTCAACGAGGGAAATGGCCGTCACCTCGTTTGCAAAAATTTACAGTCTGTGATTGAGTATGGCAGGTGTGGTGAGTGTGGCAGGTCTGGCGAGTGTGGTAGGTGTGGTAGGTGTGGCGAGTGTGGCAAGTGTGGTAGGTGTGGCGAGTGTGGCAGGTGTGGTAGGTGTGGCGAGTGTGGCGAGTGTGGCAGGTGTGGCGAGTGTGGCAGTTGTGGCAGGTGTGACGAGTGTGGCAGGTGTGGTGAGTGTGGCAGGTGTGGCGAGTGTGGCAGGTGTGGTGAGTGTGGCAGGTGTGGTGAGTGTGGCAGGTGTGGTGAGTGTGGCAGGTGTGGCGAGTGTGGCGAGTGTGGTAGGTGTGGCAGGTGTGGCGAGTGTGGCGAGTGTGGTAGGTGTGGCGAGTGTGGTATGTGTGGCGAGTGTGGCAGGTGTGGCGAGTGTGGCAGGTGTGGCGAGTGTGGCGAGTGTGGCGAGTGTGGTAGGTGTCGCAGGTGTGGCGAGTGTGGTAGGTGTGGCGAGTGTGGTATGTGTGGCGAGTGTGGCAGGTGTGGCGAGTGTGGCAGGTGTGGTGAGTGTGGCAGGTGTGGCGAGTGTGGCAGGTGTGGCGAGTGTGGCAGGTGTGGTGAGTGTGGCAGGTGTGGCGAGTGTGGTAGGTGTGGCGAGTGTGGTATGTGTGGCGAGTGTGGCAGGTGTGGCGAGTGTGGCAGGTGTGGCGAGTGTGGCAGGTGTGGCGAGTGTGGTAGGTGTGGCGAGTGTGGTATGTGTGGCAGGTGTGGCGAGTGTGGCAGGTGTGGCGAGTGTGGCAGGTGTGGCGAGTGTGGCAGGTGTGGCGAGTGTGGTATGTGTGGCAGGTGTGGTGAGTGTGGCAGGTGTGGCGAGTGTGGCAGGTGTGGTGAGTGTGGCAGGTGTGGCGAGTGTGGCAGGTGTGGCGAGTGTGGCAGGTGTGGCGAGTGTGGCAGGTGTGGCAGGTGTGGCGAGTGTGGCAGGTGTGGCGAGTGTGGCAGGTGTGGCGAGTGTGGCAGGTGTGGCGAGTGTGGCAGGTGTGGCGAGTGTGGCAGGTGTGGCGAGTGTGGCAGGTGTGGCGAGTGTGGCAGGTGTGGCAAGTGTGGCAGGTGTGGCAGGTGTAGCGAGTGTGGCAGGTGTGGTGAGTGTGGTGAGTATGCGGGGGCAAACCTTGATGGTGTTGGAGGGCAGCACATGCAGCTGGTACACCGTCAGACACAGTTTGCTCAGGTTTATGTAAAAGTTGACCATAACATCTCCAGGCATGGGCGGGCTGAACATTTTCTACACACAAAACATGCAGTGATGGTGAAAAACAGACGCAGCTTAAAAAGAGGCGTCAGAGATAGGTTCAGACTGGTACCATGAGTCCACTGGTGGCCAGCTCCGACAGGGTGAGGGAGGCTGGGGTGGTCAGACGGTTCCTCGCCCTGGTCAACTGCAGCATCACAGCATCCATCAGCTTAAGAAGAAAACACACAGAAGAGCAGCTTTAAATTGATTTATTTGAAGTATATAGGGGACAATGCACATTTCCAAAGCAGGTTTCTGTTTTCTCAAGTAACACAAGCAGAAGTAGTACATTTACAAACATTCCATATTAAACCACAGACAGTTCAAAGTGCAAAAGACAGTGGAGAGTGTGGCACATTCTGTATCGTTAGAGGGAGATGACCAATAGTGACTCCCTTAGACACTCATTTGCTAAAATACAATGAGGCTATGTGCAACTTCAGTCCTTTCTTTTAAATGTACTGCCATTAACAGAACATGAAGACTGCATTTTCTAAACTGAGAAGTTTTGGCAAAGGAACTCCCGTACATATATTTTGCGTTTGAAGTGTTGAGGTCAGCTGAAGACTGACCTTGTTCACTTCTGCTCCGGTTTTAAAGTGGTAGGTGTCGTCGCGGCAGCTCAGCAGGTGCAAGGCTTGGTTCACGTGGTTCCGAGCATCTTGGATCTGCAAATACAACACAGCTGTCACACGTACAAGCACAGAACGTCAAATCTATCCATTTTTGTAAGGCCTAAAAATCCCAGATTGGAAGATAGATCATTTAAAACATTTGGCGAGACAGATCAACCAATGCCAATTCCCACCTCTACACCTTCTCCACCGACTCCCACTGATGACTGCTGTCGTTGTGTCCTTGGGCAAGACACTTAACCCCACTTTGCCCAAAGCCCCCACTTAAAGATCAAGGCTATGCTCACACTCAGAGAGCAGCCGTCCTCCTGTGGACTCACCACCTGCAGAGGGTCAGTGAGGGGCTGGTGCTATGAGACTTGGGTGGCATCTCTGACTGCCACCCCCCTGACCCAGAAATGGATTAAAGGGTAGAAAATGGATGGATGGATGGATGGATGGATAGATCAACCAATGCTTGGATAAATTAAGCAAATCGATTATGTCACGTCAAGCCTCTGGCCTTAGCCATGGTAAACTCCGGTCAATTTTTATTTCCCTACATGTACCGTATGGGTCTGGTCCCAGTGTCTGCAATTACATCGGTTGAATCCCATCCGACCAATCAGCAAGAGGCGGGTGTTGTAGGTAGGTGTCGGTTAAATCAAATTGGCAGGTTTAGTTTAGCAATGGCGAAGAATGCGATAGTTAAGTAATCTGTTCTGGTTCTTTCAAGAAATTGAAGCCGGAGCAAGAGGAATGTTTAGCAAATGTAATTGCTGGCAAAGATTGTGGCGCTACTCCCCACGGGCTCCGTTAGTGGCAAAGAAGATGGCTAGGCTAAATGCTAAATGCTAGACTCAGTCGGGCGCAATAGAGCGAATTCAGACCCTAGTACAAAATGTAATTGGTACAATGGTGTGGTACGATCAGGCTACGCCAAGCCCATGCCCTTGAAAATTCTGCTCCAGGTGCTTTTCTTGTGTGTGTCAATAAAATGGTATGGGAAGAATATTTCTGATTCTATTTTTGCCATCAGGTTATTGCCAAGATGCCTGAAGGACCTGCTCAGTCCCTCGGGAGGGGCCCCTGACGTACCTGCTGCAGTTTCCAGTGCTTGTCATCTCTGAACTGGAAGTGCAGGAGCTGGTTGCTCTTGGCCGTCTTCAGGTTAATGTCCTGTGAGCAGCGAGATCAGGATCAGAGCAGTACCAAGAGCCGTCATGCATAAACTGTAAAATACGGTGCATGTACGGCTTTTGACAGTCGCAGCAGACCTACAGCGGACAGGTTTGATATCTCTGCTGTTGCACTTCAGCAGTCATGAGCTCAGGTGGTTAGAAAAGTGTGTGTGAGCGGGGTTACAGCCTTAAAGGAATAGTTCACCGTTTTTACATACTGACATATGTTCTTACCTTACCTTAGACTAGTTAATACGTACCTGTCTGGTCTTAGTCCGTGCGCTCTGTCATGCAAACGGAGCAAAAACGGGAGCACAACCGCAGCCTCCTCTGTATATTTTGTAGCACCAAAAGGTAGCTCCCGCTAGAAGCTACCAAACTTGTAGTACACACAGTAGCAGCGAGAGAGAAGTCTCCGGAGAGAAGTTAGTGCGCAGAGAAGTTAGGAGCGCTACGTCCGCGCACTAACTTCTCTCCAGAGACTTCTCTCTCGCTGCTACTGTGTGTATTACAAGTCACGCTGCTTCTATTGACGGAAGTGAGCGAGAGAGAAGTCTCCGGAGAGAAGTTAGTGCGCGGACGTAGCGCACCTCAGATTACTACGCCTCACAATATAGTACCCGTTTTATCCGCTGAGAAAATCGACTGTTACATTTCTGTGTTACTATACTTTGCAGTGTAACACGTCACGTAACTATATACATTTAATAGGGAACACTTGGAAGAGTTTGGTAGCTTCTAGCGGGAGCTACCTTTTGGTGCTACAAAATATACAGAGGAGGCTGCGGTTGTGCTCCAGTTTTTGCTCCGTTTGCATGACAGAGCGCACGGACTAAGACCAGACAGGTACGTATTAACTAGTCTAAGGTAAGGTAAGAACATATGTCAGTATGTACAAACGGTGAACTATTCCTTTAAAACATGCTGCTACTGCAAGTATTTTGTTTAAAGCAGGTTACTTTTAGAACCCATAACCACCACCATAAACCAAGGACCACTGTACATCTCTGTTGCCCAAACATTTTATAAATAGGCTTGTTTACGCTAAAGGGAACAAAAGGCCAAAAATTAGGCTTTAATAATCAGAAGCTATATTATGTTTTTCATTTCTCCAAATTCCTCTTCAGTCCATTGGCAGTTGCTAGAATAAAACTGTTTTATACATTAGTCTCATGTTCTACAGCGGCTGTTTCTCTGTGTCACGGACCTTATCCTGGAGCTGTTCCATCAAAGCTGAGTAGAAACAAAGTGATTACTTTCATATAGTAAATAATAATTATAAAAAAAATATTTAGTTTATCTGCAACCATTGAAGGATTGCATCTTGTATCTTTCCATCTTCACTCTTTTTAATGTCCTGTGATTATTGATGATTGCCATGTTTTCTTGTATTGTTAAGCACTTATACAGCATATGAAGTTTGCTATACATTTAAACTTCCTTTAAGCTCATAACAGGATTGATTAGATTTTGTAGTTAAGACTTACTGCTTGTGTGAGGGCCTCTCCCTGCAGCGTCAGCACCCCCTTCACCTGGTCCATCCTGCACATGGTCACAAAAGTCAGATGAGAAAAAACACAACCTTATTTGTCCCACAGTGGGGGAGAGAGGAACAAAGAAAAAAATAAAACAAGAAATCAAGAGATGGATGTCAAACGTTTCCAAATTAACTAAAATGGCTGATCCCCAAACAACCTGCAGCTCCATTGTTGACAGTGACAGTTCAGAATAAACCCATTTTCTTCTTTTCAATGTCTCAAGTGTGACGCTCTTTTGTGAAGTGAGTTTCTAAAGCCTCTCTCACAGAAGGGTCTGGTTATGGGGCTTCTTATGGGTTGAGGATAGTCCTGTGTCTTGATGGTCCCGTGTCTCGTCCCGTGTCTCGTCCCGTGTCTCGTCCCGTGTCTCGTCCCGTGTCTCGTCCCGTGTCTCGTCCCGTGTCTCGTCCCGTGTCTCGTCCCGTGTCTCGTCCCGTGTCTCGTCCCGTGTCTCGTCCCGTGTCTAGTCCCGTGTCTAGTCCCGTGTCTAGTCCCGCGTCTTGATGGTCCTGTGTCTAGTCCTGTGTCTTGATAGTCCCGTGTCTAGTCCCGTGTCTAGTCCCGCGTCTTGATGGTCCTGTGTCTAGTCCCGTGTCTTGATGGTCCCGTGTCTAGTCCCGTGTCTCGTCCCGTGTCTCGTCCCGTGTCTCGTCCCGTGTCTCGTCCCGTGTCTCGTCCCGTGTCTCGTCCCGTGTCTCGTCCCGCGTCTTGATGGTCCTGTGTCTAGTCCTGTGTCTCGTCCCGTGTCTCGTCCCGTGTCTCGTCCCGCGTCTTGATGGTCCTGTGTCTAGTCCTGTGTCTTGATGGTCCTGTGTCTTGATGGTCCTGTGTCTTGATGGTCCTGTGTCTTGATGGTCCTGTGTCTTGATAGTCCCGTGTCTAGTCCCGTGTCTCGTCCCGTGTCTCGTCCCGTGTCTCGTCCCGTGTCTAGTCCCGTGTCTAGTCCCGTGTCTAGTCCCGTGTCTAGTCCCGCGTCTTGATGGTCCTGAGTCTAGTCTTGTGTCTTGATAGTCCTGTGATTTATTCCCAAAGGTTATGACAAAAATACATTAAATAAACAAATGGGAGGGGAAGGGAGACAGGAGGAGAGCAGGAAGAGGGGTGAGGCAGGAGGAGGAGGAAGAGGAGGAGGAGGAAGAGGAATGAGGCAGGAGGAGGAGGAAGAGGAAGAGGAGTGAGGCAGGAGGAGGAGGAAGAGGAAGAGGAAGAGGAGTGAGGCAGGAGGAGGAGACAGGTTCTTACGTGGAGCTTCCCAGGATGAAGTTCTCCTGTTTGAGCTGACTGTCCAGTCCTGGAGAGGGCATGCTGAAGCGCCGAGAGGCCTCCTGTCACAGCGAGAGCTACGTCAGCTACGTCAGCTACGTCAGCACCACTCATTATCAAAGGCTTCGCTTCCACCAACCTACTCTACATCATGTGCCTCCATTAGGCTTTAATCTACAGTAAGTAAGACATTTTTATTTATATAGCGCATTTTACAGAACAAGGTCACTTAAAGCGCTTTACAATGTTCAGATATTCTTCCATCCACACACGGTGATGACGAAAGCGAGACGCCGAACACGCTGGACCATCAAAGCCCCCAACAACACCATCCATTCACTCACTCATTACATTCAGATCTATTGTACATGTTTTTAGTGGTAGGGGAAACCGGAGCACCCGGAGGAAACCTACGCAGACACAGGGAGAACATGCAAACTCCACTCAGAAAGGCCGGGATTCGAACCCAGGACCTTCTTGCCGAGAAGCGAGAAGGTCCTGGCTACTCAGCCACCGTATCCTGGCAACCTACCCACACCAAACCGGTAGTCATGCCTTTCCGCAGCACTAAGTACCAGCTTGGCCTGGATAGAACCAGGTACAAGGTAAACAGGGCCGATGGATGTGTTCCCGATCAGAGTAGAGTGGGCTGAGTGCTCCCTGACATCATCGATAAACACCGAGTGGAGCCCTTTATTGTGTTTTTCTCCGTGGCAGTGACAATAAACTGAATCTTGAACCTCACAGTATTCTAGAGACCAGTGTGATGGCGCCATGCTGCTGGGTCACCACTATCAGGTCAGATATCAGAAGTTTGTTTGTTTGTTTATTTATTCATTTCAGGCATTTCACATGAGGCAGCAGTCACCTCTTGTTCATCATAGTTTCCAACAAAAAATAAAAATAAGTAAAGCATTGCTAACATGCATGAAAATAAAATAAAAAAATAAACCAAAATATTTGCCTGAAAGGGAGTAGGAAGAAGAAAACTTCTCTTTATAACTATTGTAAGTTACAGAAAAACAAACTAGGGATTAGCTTGGGCCAAGTCTCCTGTGCGCAAAAATATAAAAACATTTCAATCTATATGTATGATGATGACCTTAAGAACGTCCTGCAGCTGCTTGAGGACAGTGTGGACCTCTTCTCTCAGCAGCCAGTTGAACTCCTCCTCCTGTGACACAGTACAACACAGAACTCACATTACTCTCACAATATTGCATCAGCCTGGGTCGTAAGTAGGTGGGGTAGCCTCTGGGTGGAGCAGGACAGGTCACAAGGTGGAGTAGACGCTTGGTTCGGACCATTTTCTCTGCTCTGGTCCAAAGTAAAATGCTAAATGCTTCATTAGCATTTTTCAAAAAGTTAGCATTCCTCCAGTGGATTTTTGCCTGACCCGCTTGGTTCGGACCATGATCCTCTCTGCTCTGGTCTGGACCAGTGTAAAACCATGAACACTGTACTGCAGCAACATCTCAGGCAGAAAAAAATGAAAATAAAAATTGTAAAGCACAAAACAACAACTGTTTCAGAGACACTTAGGACTTGCTGCCGTTTTCCAGCGCATTCAAAAGTAGTAGTAGTAGTCTGCTTTGATCCTATTCTACTGGTAACACACGCCAGTCCTCACTCAATCATAAGATCACGATGACAGACTCCAGCAGATGATGACACACTTTTTATATTCCAAGAGCTATGTTTCCCTCCCTCCAGTCCTCCCCATGTCAGAATGTGCAACGGGAAAGAGTTTCAAAGGGTCAACATTGAGACAAACATTGATCGTGTAATGGACATGTGGACATTCTTTAGAGACATAGAATACAGATAAAACATTACATAACTTAGTACTACTACTACTACTACTACTACTGAAAATCAGGTTCACAGACGGGATCTTTGCGCACCAGAGCAACCTAGAGGTTTATTCCCAGTTGTTTTCAGACAGAACAAAGTTAGGATTTATAGTCAATGTTACGTCACACAACAGAAGACATACGTGTCACATCAAGAGACAACAAAAGATCATAGAGTCATAACAAGAACACACAATCGGAGCAGACACACAATTAGATCACTTGTATAGCCATCTATTTCCCCTACTCCTCCTCCTACAACTACTGCTACATTATCATATTGCCTGAGTTTATAATTTGGTGTACATGGGGTGAACTTCAAATAGTATAGTCATTTATTTCTTCAAAGTTTGAATAAATAAATGACTATACTATTACTATTATACTACACTAAAAACAGATAAATCATATTTTAGACTATTATACATTTTCACTATATTTATTTCATTCTGAATGTAATCAGCGTTCAGGATTTAACTGTATTCAATGTTTGATTTATTTTCCTTGAACAGGTTTCCTCAGTTCTGACACGTTCTGGTGGGATCAGACTGGTATCGGCGCCACCTATGGGGCCAAGTATTGGTATCGGATCGTCCCTAATAAATGTACAGTGGGTGTCAGCGAGGCCTTGACGTTTGGGCGCATCAGCATGACATTAGGCTGTAAGTTAATTAGCATGGCATCAAGTTAGAGCAGAGGTGTCCAAATATTTTTACTAAGATGGCCCCTTTAGTTTACCAGACTTATCCAGGGGCAGATGACCTATACACTGATTTAATTAGCTATGACAGATTCTGCAGCAGCTACATTAGCAATGGAATTTTGTGACAATCAAAAACAAGCGTCTGTCGACAATAATAAACAACCGGCTTCTAGAGGGTCTGATCTTTCCAGTAAGGTATAACAACATGCCTGTATTTGGCTGGTTCACAACTGACACTGAACTGATGTTTATGATCTCAAAGTTTACATTAAGTTAGCAAAGCAGAGGACCACAAACAATGACCGCAGGCCCCATTTGGTCTGCGGGCCTAGGTTTGGACGCTTAGTTTGCAAAGTTAAATATATCGGAGGCCAAGCCCAGGGACAAACTGGTTAAATTTGTAATAAAACATATGAAAATTATTACATATATTATGGGGGTGGGAGTGTGTTCATATGATTATACATCATATAAATCAACAGGACCTACAGAGCGGCTTATTACACAATTTGTTTGGCTATACCAGAATCATTGGAAGCAAAACATTACTCTAAGTGCATTTTAAATGATCTTAAAATGTATTATAGGTATGTTAGCCAAACCTGTAGCTGCCCTTAGCAGAAGAAGAACAAGAAAGGAGCTTTCTGATGGATGCAGCCATTTTGGGCACACAAGCGCCCCCTTGAGGCTTTCCTCACTTACAAGCTGTGGTTGAGCGCGATTAAGACCCATATTTGCTTCAAAAACACAATTTATGAGCCATCCTCTTAAATGTAAACATGTTGATCCATCCATCCATCCATCCATCCATTTTCTTCCGCTTTATCCGTTGCCGGGTCGCGGGGGCAGCAGTCTAAGCAGAGACGCCCAGACTTCCCTATCCACACACACCTCCTCTAGGCCCAGGCCCAGGCCAGCTGAGAGACATAGTCTCTCCAGCGTGATCAACATGTGATTTACAATCAACATGTTGATTGTAAATTAAATATTTTTGAACTTTTTAAACTGTGATAAACAGAGAAAACAGTTTGATAGCACCTCACAGGACTCTCCCTGTGAGCTGAACATTGCTTTTACGTCTCCCAAGAGAGGCTTGCCTCACAGCGCCGCTCTGTCAAATCTGCAATTTGAAGGTATAACTAAATGAAATAAGGCAAAGTTACATTGAAATAATGTACAGCACAAATCACTTGATAAAGTGACCAAACATTATTGTATCCATTTTATTACTTTTCTTTCTATGATCTTAGGTGAGGGCCTTACCTGCCTCATCTGACCGCACGTCACTGGGCTACACAACACAATGAAGCCACCGGAGAGACTGACGCATGAATGCGTATTGGAAAAAACAATGTTCAGTTTGATAAGTGACTTGCTTGATATATATTGTTTATTTTTTGTTTTCTTAACAATTAAGATGGTATGTTATTATCCAGTGTAATCCAAGTATGAGTCTCTCCCTCGACTCTCCCAACAAAAACCCACCCCCCTCTCAAAAAATAGTTCCGACGTCCATGCATACACGGAGACCGGGAGATTAGCAGAACTTGTCTATACTAGGGCATTGTCTGGTCCTCCCGGTTCTTCGCAGTGGACGAGCTCCCATGATGCGTTGCGCCAAACGTGCGTGTGTGGCTCTCATGCACACGCACAGAGGGGCTCAGCCGCGCTCTTCCGCTCCACTTCCGCTTCCACTTCCGCTTCCACTTCCGCTGCGGCGGAAGAGTGGAGCCAAGGGACACTAAAATTCCTGCAAAATCCGATCTTTATGAAACTGTAGGTTCTCTTTCAGCTGAGGTCGTGCTGTTTTAATTTACATTGAGTTCTATGGGACGTTTTTTGGGGTAGCCCACTTTAATTTAGTCTGCAGTACCACGGGCGCCCCCTGTGCCAGTTATCCAGTTATTATTATAGATCCATCTCGAGGGCCAAGCGAATTCATTTAGGGGCCGGATTTGGCTCCCGGGCCTTGACTTTGACACCCATGGTTAGAGCAGTGTCTCCCAAAGTGGGGTCCGCGAGGGTACTGCAGGGGGGCCGCGGGAGGTCATAAAAAAAATAAAAAAAATAATATAATTATTTAATGTTAAATTTATAATGTTTTGTTTGTAATATTAAAATATTTGTGTTGAATAATCCACTGTAATCATTTTTGTATTACAATGTTTGTAGCAGAGGCTATTTCCCCAAAATGAAATAACCAGAAGAGCCTATTCTTAATGATGTCTTCTTGGTTATTATTTTGGGGGGCCACGCAGACCCGACAGATTTTTAAGGGGGCCTCGGTGTTACTGAGTTTGGGAATGGCTGGTTTAGAGTATACAGTAGTTGCTTACCATAACATTAGGTTTGACTCCACGGTAGTCACTTCAGCATAACACTATATTAGACTTTACACTATACTGTACGTGCATAAAAACATTAGGTCAGAATACACTGTACGTGCATCACCGTAGCGTAGGACCATGTACAGCAGGACCATGTACAGCAGGTTACATGGTAAAGGTCTCTGTGGTGCAGTAAACATACCAGCACGGCCCGCTCCACTTGGCTGGCGGAGGACATCTTGGGCAGCTCGGACAGAGACCTCTGCGGGTTCAGCATCGTGTTCTTGTGTTTGCCACAGAAGAGAAGTGCAGGAATGATCCAGGATTAAGACGGCTCACGGGAAAACACTCGAGCTAGTGTTTATGCGGCTGTTGGAAGGAAGCGGTGCTGCGTTCACGGACTGGAGGACAGTGGGGACGAGACCAGCAGGGAACTCAAATACTAATGTTCATATCGTTTTTATAAGATAGACTGTTATTTATATATTTGTATTTTAATTGTGGCTTACGCACGCTTCTATAAGGCAACCATTTGTGAAATATTTATTTTATATGCGGCTTTTATTGACTTCAATCAGTTGGTTTTCTGAAATTGTATCTCCTCTGCCATCGAGTCTGAACAATATTGATTAATGAATTATTATATGAAGTCTATGGTCTGAACAAGTGCATCGACGGTTTTCAAATTATTATTATTTTTTAGGTCTTTAAACGCATCATTTCTTTCGTCACACGCTTCCCATTAAACTGCGCCGCCCACTATCCATGTGGAAACCATTATATTATATATATGTGGAAAGCTTTGGCTTGCCACTACACAGACCTTACCAGTAACCTGTCCAGTGTGTCTCTTCACGTTTTGTTCTTTTTGATCCAGGGTTGGGAGATTTTACTTCAGCTAAGATTTTAAGCACACTACAAAAGTACAATTGTTTTCAGTCTATTTTACATATACTGTATACTTAATTTATCTTTATTAAATATATATGAACAGTAGTAGTGAATGTCTTTTGAAGGAGACTAGTCTTATACAAAGCTTTAGTTTAGGATATATTTTATTTTAAGCTCCCAATGTTTTATTGACATTTGGGGCGCCCAGCTTCTAAATAAATCAGTGGGAGCTAAAAGTGGTGCAGACCTGGTCTCTACTTTTTTGGTTCTGTTTCTCTGAGTGGCTCGATTCTCAGGGGTTTGGGATGTGCACATTCTATCAATTTTCTTCCGCTTTATCCGTTGCCGGGTCGCGGGGGGCAGCAGTCAGACTTCCCTTTCTACACATACACTTCTTCCAGCTCGTCCCGGGTGAATTCCCAGGCCAGCTGAGAGACATGTCCTCCCAAGACATGTCCAGAACTCCTTGACTGCAGGCTCCTCTGGATATGGAGAAGCAGTGGCTCTACACCAGGGGCCTCCAACCTTTTCCGGAAAGCTACTTTTATAAAAACAGAACTGGCATTTATATTATAAATACAGACAATCATGGAGAACACAAATGCATAATATACCATCATACTGTGGAGTATCTCTGCATTCATCAAAACATTTTTAGTTAAAATAGATTTGTAATGATTCAAGATCATGTGTTAAATACTGTAATCCCAACAGCAACATGGACTGTTGTGTGTCTGTTACTGTGTTGTGTGTCTGTCTGTCTGTTACCGTGTTGTGTGTCTGTCTGTCTGTTACCGTGTTGTTGTGTGTCTGTCTGTCTGTCTGTTACCGTGTTGTTGTGTGTCTGTCTGTCTGTCTGTTACCGTGTTGTGTTGTCTGTCTGTCTGTTACCGTGTTTGTGTGTGTCTGTCTGTCTGTTACCGTGTTGTGTTGTGTGTCTGTCTGTCTGTTACCGTGTTGTGTTGTGTGTCTGTCTGTCTGTTACCGTGTTGTGTTGTGTGTCTGTCTGTCTGTTACCGTGTTGTGTGTCTGTCTGTCTGTTACCGTGTTGTGTGTCTGTCTGTCTGTTACTGTGTTGTGTGTCTGTCTGTTACCGTGTTGTGTTGTGTGTCTGTCTGTTACCGTGTTGTGTGTCTGTCTGTTACCGTGTTGTGTGTCTGTCTGTTACCGTGTTGTGTTGTATGTCTGTTACTGTGTTGTGTTGTATGTCTGTTACTGTGTTGTGTTGTATGTCTGTTACCGTGTTGTGTGTCTGTCTTATGTGTGTTTGTCCATGACAAACTTCCTCTGGGACGTAATAAAATAATCTTGAATGTCCTTTAATCTCCCAAAGCTCATGGCCAGAGGTGATGGTGGGATGAGGATTGATCTTTAAATAGAAAGCTTTGACTGCAGACGCTGCTCCCTCTTCACCACACCAGTCCGATACAGCGGCAGCTCAAAGAAGCAGAGATACATGAACTCCTGTTTGAGCACCTGTGCACTGGGAAGGGCAAGGGTTTCCTTTGTGAAGGTTTTAATCATTGTATCAAAAGGTGAAGATTTGTTTCATTATATTTGACTATTTTATATTTTAATATGGAAACTAACTCCCATTACCTTGTACATAATGAGTTTCTAGAAATATAAAGTTCTATAAACGTTAAATTAGCCATTAAAGTGAAATTTTACTCTGAGCTACACATTAAAAGTATTAACGTGCATATCGTAGGATGACAAAAGCTCCATTTCCACTAGCCCTACTATACTTAGCTCTTCTCCACCCCGAGTGGGAACATTACCATTTAAGCACTTTAGTTCCTCTTGGATCTGGTTCTATCAAGGCCAAGGTACTTTAAGGTATAAAAGGTGAATTTTCAACTATTTTTTCTCCCAATTGTCAATCATTCTGGTGATACGTACTCGTCAAAAAGACCAGTTTTGTTCAAAAAGTTGAGAAAGCGGTTCCATCCAAAAATGTGGGAAAATCCTCCTGTATACAAGGAAGCTATCATTGTGGATGGGTTTCTAGGATTTAGTACCAGATATAAAACATGAGTGCCAAAGTAACGTTGGCCCCCAGAATGATAGTTGATTAGTATTAGAACCGGCCCTCAGAGCCATAAGAACATTATTGATAATTAATTTGATGTTCAGGACAGGTGTGTTCTTTAAATTAATAATCCAAAAGCAAAATTCGTTCAATCAGTACATAAAATACACGTTAGGCCTAAATTCAATCGGACATATGCAATCATTTTTAATATGTTTTAATAAATATTGGACTAGTCAGGCCTCGACTTGTAGCAAATGTGTCTTTTTGGCCCTCTGATGTATTTGACTTTGACATCACTGTGCTAAAGCATAATGGCAACACAACCAGGAAGAGTAGAGTTGGACCAAGTGGGGCTGGTGGAAACAGGGCTACCAAAATGTCATTAGTCTATTAATGCAGCTTCCTGGCTCGACTCAGATTGGAGATGTTGTACTTAAATATGTTAACGCCTCAGAGCTAACAGAAGCTCCCAATCTGAACTATGATAAGTGCAGAAGTAGCTAACACTCTACAGCAATTATGAGGATTTATTCAACGCCACAAACGTCTTTATAATTCCACATGTACACAAAATCATAAATATCCCCCAAACCAAAGTTGAAAACCTCCTTCAGTTCCTTAACCTCCTAATATTGAAAAAGAAGCCAGTTTTTAAAGCCACAGTCAATTATAAGTGTACAGTAATAAGACACAACATCAGACTCGAGTGAAAGCACATAGATCATTATTAATATAAAAGAATTCCTACTGAGATAATGTGCTTATTTACACTAGGCTTAAAAACACCTCCAGTATAAATGTCATTTCAAATCAAAAGGTCATCACTTGTTTGGATTCTCAGAGTGTAACAACTTGTAAATGAAAAACTATGTAAAATATCAAGGGCTTGGAACCAGAACGGCGTGAGTGGCGTTTTCGGGCGAGGAGTTGTTTTAAATATCAAATTAAAAAGGCTCCAGAAATCACCCGGTATTCAATAAAACAAAAACAAAAGTTTGATTGGAGCCAGAGGGGCATAAATGCACAAAAACATATAAATGATGATAGGTATGTGACAAATTCAGGCTTTTTCCCCCCATAAATTTGACTGAATACAGGCTTGCTCACCTGATGAACCCATTATTTTGTTCTGGGTTCAAGGCTTAGAATAGAATGTGGTTATTAACTTTACCTTTTAAATTATGTGTGACTTTCCATAGTAACCTCTTTTTACATACGCAAGTTTCAAAATCATTCAAGTCTGTACCCCAAGAGGACCCATGTACTTTTGTCAACGTACAATGGTGTAACTTAATGTTTTTAGTCAATATATTCAGCATTGATCGGCAGATTTGCCACATTGGGTTTTAAAACATGTTCACCCTTTAAATATGCCATACTATTTTACTTCAAAACTAACTTTTATAAGTATGTTTCTTTATTAAACTTCAACCACACAGACGACTGAAGTGTGCTAAAACAAAAAGTCTTCTGCAGTTAGTCTAGTGCCACTTCCGTCTCCAATCCCAAGCCCCGGATATTTGCGACATGAACGCCCATGTCGCGGGCAACGGTTTGAAAACGGTTCTGGCATGCTCTAAAAAAGAAAGGGGGAAGTCTGTGCATTTAAGGCCTCACAGTAGTTTCTCTGTCCGACTAAAAATCATTTCAAAATTAAAAGCACAAGAAGCAAACGTGGATGAGAACAGACCAAAAGGGTCAAAGAAAAAAATAAATACATGGTTATTGGATTAAGCCAAACAGGAAAGGTTAAGGCAATGCAGTGGCGTGTTCTTGGTCATTTTTGTAACCAACAAGAAAACAGGAAATGCTATTTTGCGTTTGGATGGAAAAGCAAGGATCTAATAATAACAAAAGAATTCATACCGTACACTACTCACAAAAAGTTGGGATATATGAGCTACCGTTGAGCGATTGTTAAGACAATCTTTATCTCGAGTTCAAAATGTGCGCAACATGACGAAAGCAAGCGTTTCAAAATAATTCAAATAGAACAGGGAAATGTACGGCTCGAATCATGGAGCGACTGCGTTAGAGAAACATTGAACCGTCGTCGTTTAGAGAAGGCCACATTGAGTTCAGCGGTGAAAGTGGTCGTGGATTTTAACCTGTAAGCCGAATATCAAACTTTTTGTGAATGGTGTACAGTGTAGTGCACAGTCTGCACGTGCGGCGGGCATGTCTGTTCTGACCTGCCAGGCCACCAATACAGGAAAACTAAAAAAAAACCAA